CCCCTCCCCCCCCCCCCAGGACCTCTCCCTGCCCGAAGTGCATCAACTGCGAGCCCGGCATGTATCAGCCCAACTACGGGCACGTCGGCTGCCTTCTCTGTCCCCAGGGGTCCTTCGCCGAGCTGTCCGGCTCGGCCAACTGCACCCCCTGCGGAACGGGCTACTATTTGGACCAGTTTGGCTCGTCTCAAGCTGACGACTGCCGGATCTGCCCGGCCGGCTTTTACTGCCCATCGGTCACCACCGGGCGGCCGATCATCTGCCCGGAGGATTCCGTCTGTCCGGAAGGGTCCTCGGCTCCGCGCAACTGCAGCCCCCTGTCCGAGCCGGTCACCGGGGAGGATGGCCTCGTTGTGCGTGTTTCCCCTCCCCCCCCCCTGTCCCATTGTTTTTGCCCTGTCTCCCGCCGACCCTGCGGCCGATGCGCCCCATGTCCTGACGACCCATCCACCACGCAGGAGTGCAAGCCGATTGTCTTCTTCTATGCCCTGGTGTCGCTGGCCTGTGTGGCGGCGATCACCATTGTCGCCGTTCTGGTGGCGGTTGTCACTCGCAAGAAGGCCGACCCGGCCATCGTCAGCCAGATGATCCACCAAGAGAAGGACCGCCTGTTGGCGGACGATCCCCACATCCGTGGTGTTGGTGACACTCCCATGTACTCGGGCCTATGAGGGCATACCCCTCGATACGTGGGAGTGCCGGCCAATCAAGAAGACAAATAGGGTAACAACAGGTTTTTTTGTTTGTTTGTTTTTTTTCACTCTTCGAGTGCTTTATTCTTGCTTTTTCTTCGCCCCTTCGTTTGGCTACGCGCTGGAGTATGCAGGTGACGACGGCGCACACAGGGCACATCTACCCCTTTGCCTCTCGGAGAACTTTCTGTGCATGCAGAGCGGCAGGGGGGGGGGGGGGGAGCACACCCAGTGTTAGAGATCCTCGAGCAGAGTGGGGAAGAGGGAAAGCGGGGGCGGAACGAGGAGAAAGGGCGCGATCGGCATGAGGGGCTCAAGGATGGTGGGGGCACAAGGCAAAGTCCACACACCTCCAGGGCATTTTGCAGGGTATCGACGTCGATTTTTCGCAGGCCACTGGTCTGGGCCTCCGAGGCGGCTTGTGCCGCCAGGCGCCGGATGAAGACGATGTAGTTCAGGTAGATCTGACCCAGCGTCGGGAGTTTACACACGCGCGCGTATGGGTTTGTGTGTCAGCCGTGAGGAGGAAATCGCGGAAGAAGGGGGACGATCGAAAGAAGGAAGAAAAGGGCACCGAGCTCGGACGCCTGGCCAAGGGCAAAATGGAGGGAGCCTGGGGGCGGCATTGGGGCGCACCAGGAGGTCAGTGTTGGCGCCGAGCTTGAGGCCGGGCTGTGCCTTCTTGACCACACGCTTGATGCCCTGGCGAGGGCAGCGCCTCTGGGCGGTCATGCCGAGGAAAGAGGGGAGGAGGGGGGGGGGGGGGGGCGGGGGGAGAAATAAAAAGGGGGGGCTCGGTCGATCGCCGGTGTTTGGGTCTTCCGCCGGTAGCGGACCTCGCAGTGCAGGGCCCATTTATGGAGCGGGGGGGGGAGGGGGGCCGGACGCCCCCCGCAAGGCGGGACGGCCTGAGTTAGATCGAAGCATCCATCCGTCGGCACTCGCGGTGGTAACTGCCACCACAGTCTCGGCTAGTTCGCAGGCCTTCCCGGCCCGGCCCACCCCCCGCCCCGCGCCGACCGAAGGATGTGGTACTTGTGAAGGTCGCGCGGTGTTTTCCCCGGATGGGGGGAGGTTTCATGCCAGAAATCCTGTCCCCCTCCTCTCCTGCCCTCCCCCCCCCCTCCCCTGCTCACCAGCCGCGCGCCGCATTTCCCGCCCGCTTCCTGCATCCAAGTCGCCCGACCGCGGGGAGACCACCATGTCCAGCTCTGCCCCCGGGGCGCCGCCCCCCACTTCGGCCGTTTTCGGAGGAGGAGGTGCGCCCTTTCGTGCCCGATTCTCGACCATACTTTGGCCACCTTGTCTGGATGCCCCTCTCACTCGTGCTTTTACCCCCCCCCCCCTCCGCTCTTGCTCCCTTCACCGCTGCAGACGACACTCCTGCCGTTGTGCTGGAGATCGGCTCATACGCCACTCGCGCCGGTTGGGCCGGCGACCTCAGCCCCGAAGCTAACATCCTGTCTTCCATCAGTGTCAACACCTCGGGTGCGTCTTCGGCCCCCTGCCTTCCTTTGATCTTGCGCATTGCCCGATGCTCACACTCCTCGCAGATCCAGCCCGTGCGTCGCGGTTTGTCGGCGACCATGCGGTCTTCACCCGGCGCGATGATGCCGAGCTCATCCAGCCCATTCGCGCTGGCGCCGTGACCAACTGGGATGATGCGGAGGCCATCTGGTCGCAGGCTTTCAATCAGCTGGGCGCCGTGAAGGGCGAAGTGCGTTCCATCCAGGGCCCGTCCCGTGCCCCCCCCCCTCCCCCCCCCCCCCCCCCACCATTGGCCATGGGCCCACCCGCCCGTCCCCCCCTCCCCCGGAGAGTGCCCTCCCCGACAAGGCCGCTCGAGCTTCTCCCCGTGGCGGGTGCCTTGCCCAATCGGCC